TAAGTTTTCCTCTATTATTAAACTTTTAGTTTGTCTTTTTGCTTCATATATTTATTAAACTTGGCTTAGTCTGGAGTCCTGGTACCAGACTAACTTTTTTCGCTATCTTGGAACACAACTAATCACCCCCCAAAGAATTTTTAACTATCCTAAAATCAAAACATGTATTTTTAACGTTTATAGATGTTAGCAGCTTAATAAAAACACCATTAAAATGTTTAGGAAATAAATTAAAAAGCTAAAATATTAATGTTTTAAAAATGAATTGATAAATAGAAAAAAAACACTTATTAAATTTTACAGCAATTTTTATAAACATTTTTTATTTTAACATTTCAGTTCAATCACCTTGAATAATTTTACACAGAAATGTTCTTAATTTTCATGATCAGATCAACTTTTATCATCCTTTAAGAAATGTACTGTATGTATTCATTATCTCTATAAAGAATATTAGCTCATTTTAAATTTTTAAAGTTTTTATCAAAACAAATTTATTGTCTCACATTGTAACTAAACTGATCATTTTTTAAAATTCTCCCTTGTATTTCTAATTTAGTTTATGATAGCAGAAAACAATGCATAAATATTGTTAATGGTTCATTCAAATTTTTTAACTGAAAATTGACCAAAAAAAAATTTCTTTTTTTGTTAAAGTAAAATTATTACTTATAGTTAGCTACTGATAGCACTGATCTACAATTTTTCACAAGTTGATGACTTCAGAAATGAAATGTCAATTCTTATGAATTTTGGCATGCTGAATTTGAAAATAACCTTCAAGTTAGATGATTAGTTTTAGATTTAGAGATATTTAGTCATGTCATACACATGAGTACAATAGAAGTCTCAAAGAAAAACAATGTTGCTTTGCAAAATCTGCTTTGATGTTCTGTTCTATGTAGATTACCAGAGCAGTACACAAACACATCAAGATATCAATGTGTTTATTGAATAAAATACAACCGGAAAATTTTTTTCAGAAGTATATACATGCACAATTTTCAGCAACCACATATCACTTCTTAGTTTGTCTTTTGTAAACTGTAGAAGGATCATCTCTAGTCACAGTTCAACAATAATCATCCAGCATTGAGGGACACCCTTTGCTCTGATACCTTTTCTCCATTGCTGCAATTTCTTGATGAAAACATTCACCATGCCCATCACTCACAGCACCAATTTTTTTTTTGTGGAAAATCAAGATGTGGCTAATAAGTGGATCTTCAATGACATGTTACAGCCAAGATGTTTGTATGCTTCAAGGAGGTATTCCACCAGTTTTCTGTCGTTTTCTGTTCTTTCATTACCCAGAAAATTGGTTGCCATTGCCTTGAAAGCTTTCTATGCATTTTTTTCTCCTTTCCCCATTGTACTCTCAAAATTTTCACTCAAAAGAAGTTTATGAATCTGGGGACCAAAAAAAGATGCTTTCTTTTATCATTGCTTCACTTATCCTTGTAAATTTATTCTGTACATACTTGAATGCTATCTTTGTTTTATCCATAGCCTTCACAACCTTTTTTCATAAGACCAAGCTTAATGTGAAGAGGTGGCAACAATATTTTCTGACTCAACGAGTGGTGGATGCTGAACATTTTTCATCTCAGGTTCCAGTAATTGTCATAGTGGCCATTTTCTCTTGATGTAATGAAAACTTGTGTCTTAGTCGTTTCATTCACAAAAAAAAGAAAAATGTTATTTGTTATATGACGCGTTCAGCAGAGGCATATTCAACAAAAAAGTGAAAATTGCTTTTTTCATTGCAAATTATTCATTATATCATATCCAAGTATTTTACAAAAAATTAGAGGCGATTACACAATATTTCAAGCTCAACTTAGGTTTATAGTTTGTAACCATGCGATGAGATGAGGTAACATAAACCATAGATTTATCTGTGGAATATTACATTATTGTTACATAATTATAATGAAATCATTAAAGTTTTTTTGTTAAAAGCATTTTATTTTTGGTTGTATATCAATTTAGAATATTCCTTTTTACAGGCTTTATTTTTTAAATGGAATAAGTTCATTCCAAATTTCAGAATCTTGCTATTGCCTATCAAATTGACTGGAACAAATTAATCTAAAAACAACAATGGAAAAGAGAGGTAACAAAGCGTAAATGAAATAGCTCCAGTTTGTTCAACTTAGGATACTTAGCATTGTAGCCAAAGTATTCTAAAATGATGCCAATAACAAAGGAGAAAGTGAAAAATACCTAACATCAAATTGAATATAGCATCAAAATTTATATTATTTTTATTTATTTATTATGTAACTAAATACATAGTCAACAATGTTTCCATAAAACTTGATATTTCCTGTAATAAATATTATTATTTTTACTTACGGCTAACCATGAAAAGAAATGCTCATCGAAACTGCCTAAAACCTTTAAGCGTGTATTGCCATAAAATTATCAAATGTTGAATACGCCCCCCCCCCCTGTGCGGAATGCGTCATATACGCCATGTGGTCCTAGCAAGAGAGCAACAATCTTCAAACCTCTGCAAAGTTTCCAGTTATGTTGATTGTAATTGTTTCATGTCATATGTTTTTTTCATGTGGACTGCAAGACTAACTGGTATTGAAGATAAAACATTACCATTGTCTAACAAGACAGCTTTGAGACTTATTTTCAAGGAATCAATGAACAGTCCCCATTCCTCTGTTTTTGCATATGACCACTGATATTGCAGTATACCAAATCACTTTCCATAAGGAAGAATGACTAGATCCTTGTGATTATAATGGAAACAAGAAATCCATACATCAGGTAATAGATCCCAATGCTGGGACCTGAAACCTAACAGTTCTGCTTTACACTAAGAAGTTTCAAATTTCAAACAGTCCTTTAGGTTACTTTGAGTTATGAGGTGTGGTTCAGAGACATGTTGGACAATAATCTTAGACATATGAAGTTCATGGTTCAGGCTCTAAGGTTCCATTGTCTCCTCTATCTGACTCAATTTCATACAATTCCAATGCTTTTGGTACTGGTATATCTTCATTATGAGGAACAGGACGCAAAGCTTATGGAATGTTTGGATATTTCAATGTTCATTTCTTTTTCTTTGGAGGTACCATGCAGAAGTAAAACTCAGTGGCATGATTGGTTGGCTCAATCCAAATTATGGGCACTGCAAAGGCAAATATTTTTTTCTTTCTAGTTAGCCATTGACTGAGATTTGTTGCATAGGTATTACATTAGGTATTTCCACTTGCTCACTGAAAAATAGCGTAGCATGAAAAAAAGCCCCAAATTTAATATAAACAAAGTTTTATTGTCAAAATATTTATTATTAAGAGAAAAAACCAAAGTATTTTTTTCTTTTATTAAATTTTTGTAATCCTTTCTAGCACATTGGAAATTATGGTTAAATTTTTTTTTTTTTTTTTTTGTGTGAATGGTCAACAATATTTACAATTAGTGTTTTTACACCCCCCGCCTCTTCAGGTAAAAAACATTGATTTGGGAATTCTTGTAAAAATCAAATAATTGTTGGATTTTAGTGAAACTTTCAGGACTTATTTACAAAAAAAAATGAAATTATATTTGGAGTTTTTTTTAATTTTTAATTTTTTAAAAATTTTTTATAGAAAATCTTGGCAAAAAATTAAAAAAATTTTTTATTTACATATGTTACTCTCCACTTAATTTTCTGAAATTTCAAGAAATTAAACTTCAATCTCAAAATTTGTTTTACCGTAATTCCCATATATAATATGCATTTTTTCTAAGAAAAATAAGCAAAATTGGGTGCACAGCTACAAAAAATCTTTAAAAAAATTGCTGTAAAATAAAATAAGAATTATCATAAAACTAAATTAGAATAATTAAAACCATTTTTTAAATAAGAGTAGGTAATGCTGGACGTAATGAAATTAGGTGCAATTTATATGTACAAATTTTTTTTTTTTTTTTTTTTTTTGGTGTTGACAGATTTTATCATCACTCGTTAAGTGATCTGTGAATGACAAGTCACAGTGATAAGTGTATAATCAGTGCTACCGTTTGTTTTAAAAATCAATTTCTCTTTTATTTTAAACTTAAAGTAAATGTTTTTTTCAAACCAGATTAATTATACTTTAAATCAGCTAATATTTCTCAAATAAAGTTCCAGAAAAGTATATTTTATTTTTGAAAGATTTTTAAAGTTGAGAATTAACTTTTGTTTACAAATGTATCAAAAATGGCCAATATATTTTGATTTTTATCAATTTTCTGAAAGTGACCAATAAGTTGAGACTCCAATCAATATAATTCCTTTTGAAATACACCAGAATATTTTGCTTATTAGAAATAGTAAATTTAATCATTTAGCTTTCAATTAAAGCTAAAATTATTGCTTCAAGAATGCTTTTTTATTTTTAAAAACCTATTTTAAACATTAGGTATTAAAAATTTAGTGGAGGTAGTCATATTACACCATTCTTGTTTTGGTCTCCAATTTTGCATCCAAAATATAGTTGGTAAGCTTTTCTCACAACAGGTTATATTTCACTTTTTAGATGCAAAAGTCACTTCATCACACACACAAGTTATTGACTTTGTTCATACATTCATGAGGCATTTTTAAAATGTCAGTTAAATGTGTGGAAAGGAGAATAATAATTAGTTTATTAGGAGAATAATATTAATCTGGCAAGCACAACAATTTTGATAAAATATTCATATAACACTAGTATCATATCTTGAAATCTAGAGCCAATCAACAATTTGGGATATCCTTTTTATAAGCAATATAAGTTTCATAAAAATGTATAAATACATCCACAGCAATGTTAAAAATGTTACTCTTTATAGATTTAAACAGAAACTAATGAAATGTTTTTGCCTGCAATTATTATTTAATTGGGCATAACACAGTTCTTAAGCAATTTCTAATGGTAGAAAAAATAAACTTGATGATTATCATTTATTTTTTTTTTCTCTCCAAATTCTTTTTAGTGAGCCAGTGAATGGTTGAAACTGGAGAAGTCCAAGATAACATGACCATTGTGATGCGTGGGAGTCCTGCTGGTGGGGACTCCCCCCAAGATAACACTCAAGCACCACCACAGCAGCAGCAACAGCAACAACAACAGCAGCAGCAGCAGCAACAGCAGCAGCAGCAGCAGCAGCAAAAGGCTACCCAGTCTACAAGTGAAGAGACTGGTCAAGGCAATGGCCACACAGAAATGCAAGATGAGCAAGAGCCAGACTTTCCCCATGAAGCTTTGGCTAAGCTGGATGAAATGATCAATCGACCAAGATGGGTGGTGCCTGTTCTTCCCAAGGGTGAATTGGAGTTGCTTTTAGAAGCATCCATTAAACTCAGTAAAGAATGTAAGTATTCATAAATTATTTTGTTTCATAATTTTTTAAGAGGAAGAAATTGTAGCAAAATTTTGAGATTCAATATGTACTTTTTAGAGTTGATAAATAAAAATTTGGGACAACCCTGCGAATGATACACACTAATGTTTCATCATTCCCAGGATGATGAGATGATGTTAATCCTGAACTCTGTCTATAATCAATCTGAACTTATTGAGTCCAAATCATCAACATGGATAGATGCACCAATATTAACATATAGGAATATAAAGTTGCTCAAATTGCTTACCTTCAAGTTGTGACTAATAGATTTCAACAAGGGCATCAAAGTTGAACAGTATGAAAAATTTTCAGATTACTTTGCTAATATGGCAGATGATGCAGGAATTCACATGATAGTTATTTTATCATCACTTCAAGGCTCTACTAGGGACATGAAAGCCAGTATTGAGGCTTTTATATCTCCTCATAAATACCAGATAAATCTACAATCTAATCTTCTTGGTTCACATCTGCCTATTCAGCTGCTATAGCCCACAAAAATCACTTTTTTCAGCTATATCAACATGATAGCTATGATCACAACAGATGCCTCTTTGTGTCTTCAGATATGCTAAGTTGTTCTTTGTTGATAATGAGGCATCATATAACCTCTCACAAGTTTGGTTCACATGACTACTGAAGGCTCTGAAATAGTGTGTTAAGTCAGTCTTCTATTCCTCCTTTCTTCACTCAATTTGAAATAGTATCATCTGCTGATAATGCAGAATGTTTCACTTGTAAATTCACTTCCCATTGTACTCTTGACTCATTTAAAGTATTTTTGCTAGACTTTACACTTAGAACTGAGTCTCTACTGTGTGATTTGCATATAATTCTATCCATGGTTTTCACTATCATCTCCAAAGTTAATCCTTACAAAGCATGTAAACTCTATGATATCCCTGCAATTAATTGTCCTCAGGAAATGTCCTTGAACTGACCTCTGTTCTCTCCAAGTTTTACAGTAGATGCCTTGCTGCTTTTTGTTTTCCCTCTTAGGAACCCTCTTCAGTAGTTCCTGTTTTTAAGAACTTTGGTTAACCATCTGATCCTTCAAACTATCAACCTATTAGTTTTCTACCTCACTTTTGAAAAATACTAGAGGTTCTAATTAACTGCTTCTTGGTTAAGCATCTCACCTCCCAGGTTCTTCTTACTAATAAGCAATATGGCCTTCACTTCTCTAGGTCAACTGCTGATGTGTTGGTAGTTATTGCTGAAAGTCTGTTCAGCTTTAGATAAGAAATTTGGGCTGTTGCTTTAGATACCTCAAAGGTGTTTGACAGGGTTTAGCATGCTGGTCTTCACAAAATGAGAGATTATGGTGTTTCTGGTCATTTCTTTTAGTTAATTCAATCATTCTTATCAGAGTGCATAATGAATGTTGTCTGGAATGGCTACTCTTCAGATCATTTTGCATTAATGTGGGTGTCCACCATGGCTCTTAGAGTCATGGATGAAAATAAGGAACACTCTGCTCCTTATTTTCATCAATGATCTTTCTGATGTCATCAGTTCCTGACTCAGTATCTATACTGATGGCACAACTATTCCTGTCTAAATATCAATCTGATAGGCTCAATAAAATCAAATTGGCAGCTGATCTCAAGAGTGATCTCCAATCTGTTGTGAACTGGGGCAAGAAAGTGGCTTGCTAATTTTAATGCCTCTAAAATAAAACTGCTCTCTATTAACCATCTTTGTTATGTGTTGATAATTGTAACAAAGGAAAAAACAATGATTTACCACAACACAGCTAAATCACAAACAAATATTTAATTTACTAAAATATAACATAATATATATACAAGATATACAATTGTGGCCTACAAAAACAGAAAACACAGAGTTACTGGCAAAGTGTTACAAGAGAGGAGGAAAGGGAGTCAAATATCTTTATCACTTTAGGGCTAGCGAAGTAATCTAAGTGCTATATTTGGAAATCCACAAAGGTGTGTAAATAAATATTAATTTTTAGTTTGGTCAATGAAAATTAGTCAAAATTCTATTTACCAAATTTGTTCCATGAAATTCCCTTTTGGGTTTTTGTTGGTCGGCAACTTTTTATAGATTCTTTCGGCTGGATATAATAGTCCTCAAATCAAAAGCCAGAGTTGATAACAGCAGAAATTTCGCTTCATCAACTGACAAGCCTTTTCCAAAATCCCATTTTTATAGGGGCTAACACCTAATTTGCATATTTCTAGATGTTTCTCGAATCATCTAGATTCTTCTCGAATATACTGGAATGATCTAGAATCTTCCAAACGTTCTATTTCAAATTTCTCTATTTTACAACTACTTCATGAAAGAAAACTTTGTATTAACAGGTAGGACTCAGTAGAATCCCTTACTATAAATTTTAACCTTATTGAAACTTTCTTATTATAGAAATGCATCCTCGTAACAATCTTAAAAAACCTTTTTTTATCTTCAATCAGTGTGGCTGATGCTAACCTCCAGGAGAGCAACTCACTGCACTTTCTTTGTCTGATGTTTTGTACTGAAATGAAGTGGAATGATTATAATTGAATCAATTGTTGAGTTTGCTGTGAGGAAAGTTGGTTCACTATGTTGTGCAAGACATTTTTTTTTGCCAGAATCTAATCTATCTTTCATATTTATAATTCTACTGTTTGTCCATGCATAGAATATTACTGCTACATTTAGTCTGGCACTTCGGCTATGTCTAAAGATTTTTGACAAGATCCAAAGAACAATAGACAATGTTATCAGTTTTGACATCTCGGCTTTGGTCACTTTCCCACTGCTGTAGCATAGTTTCCCTTTAGTTCCTCTATAAATATTTTCATAGTAATGATTCTGATGAGCATTCCTTGTTGATACCTTGACATCATGAATTTAGGTGTCGTAATAGATTGATAGTGAGGTTTCATAATTTCACTGTTGTAATTGCTAATTGTAACCATAAATTCTATGCTGTTTTTTTTTTCTTGGACATCACTTGTGAAACTCTTCCTGCTCTTCCGTCAATTATGATCTTCAAAAATTCAAATGCAATGTCAATTGTCATCTTGTATCTCCTTGAATCCTGATCTTTTATTGTCCTTTCTGTTTCTTTCACTCTAAGTACCCCCTTACATCTTAGTGGCTTTTATTGCCTTGCTTGCAGTTGAAATGATTAAACAAGAAAGTATTGTTAGTACATATTGTTATTCTATTGAATTTCCATTAGTGAATGGGCTATAAATTAGCATATCAAATTTTAGAATCTTTTTGTAGTAAAGACATTGATTTGGAAATTCTTGCAAAAATCAAATAATTGTTGGACTTTAATGAAACTTTTAGGACTTTTTCACAAATGAATGAAATTATTTAAAAAAATTTTTTTTTTTCTCACCTGTTTAACCCCACTTAATTCTTACTTAATCTTATGGGAACTCAAGAAATTCAATGAGATAATTTTTAGTGACTATTTTAGTTAAAAGCACAACTCCTTGGAAAGTTTAAATCATCAATTTTTTTTTTCTTTTTTGTAAAATTGGACCTGTCTTACTGAAAATCTGCTGAATCGTAAAATAAAAACTAAGACATTACTTAATTAGAAAAGCTTTTAATTGCTTTTATAAATAGTATATATTAAGAACAATATTGACTTAAGAAATTTTTGATGAAAAATGAATTTTTTCAAGATTTGTTTTAAGTTTTTTACAATTTAGAACAATTTATAAAGTTTTTAAATGTTTGAAAATTCAGTTTCAATGATGTAAGTGTTAAGGAATATTAAGTAAAAATTATATTTACTAATTCTATATCATGAAGCTTATTACAATCTGACAGTCAAGTATTTTTAAAAAGAATTTTGAATTGTTTTTATATGTGTATAAATGTGCTGATTTTTGTAGATACGGTCACCCATGCCTGACATTATTAGAAAATAATAGTGATAACTATAGCAATTCTAAAGCCCAAATTCTCTTAAAATCCACTAAGACATTAGATTATGGAGAATATTTTCTTAAATTTTAAAGATTACTGAGTACTTAAAAAACATTCACATTATATTCTTCAATTATTTTTTTTACATGGCTAAAGCCACTGTGGAACAACATCAGATAAAAATCTATCTGTCATACCTTATTTCAGAAAAGTATATTTTATTTTTGGTAGATTTTTTAAGAGATTTACCTTATTGTAACGGTTTTCTAAAATGGTGTGAAATTAATTTTTTTTAGAAATTTCAAAATGAAAATGCTTTCCAATCAATTTAAATAAGTTTTGAAATACAGCATATTATATTGCTTATTGGAAATATTAAATTTAATCTATCAGCTTGATATTAAAACTAAAGTAAAAGCTTTGAGAAAATTTTTTCATTTTTAAAAGTTCATTTTAAACCTTATGTATCATGAATCTGTGGAGGTACCTACTCTTAGACTTTATACACTTTCCTTCCAAGCACTGCTATAAACAATGAAATTGAGTGAGATTGTTATAACACTGTTCATATGTGACAGAGTTCAAGATCAATCTGTACCAAATGGCTTCACCCTGTGTACTCAGCTCCATTACAATATCAGCAGTCCCAATACTTCTTGATCAGTCCACGCATGAGGATAAATATGTTGAAGTGCTGTTTCTGTCAACACAACATTACAGCTGAAGCCACTTGATCAAAGCATCATTAAATGTGTGAAGGCAATGTTCACCCACCTTTATCTTTACCATGATTCATGCCATATTTTGTGCTAACATGGATAATAGCATCCTGGATTTATGGAACAGCTTCATAACTGTGGGTGCAATTGAACTTATTGTTGAATTTGTTGAGGCTCAAAACCCTAAGACTCTCAATGCCTGCTGGAAGGCAATTTGGAGTGAATCAGTCAACAACTTCAAGAGATACCTTATGCTCAGTGGAGAAGTGAAGCACATTTTGCAGGTTGTAAGGGAAATTAGTAGGGAAAGCTTTTTGAAGATATCAAGTAAAAGATTGAAGAGCTGGA